CAAACGTTGACTTTCGAAAAACTTTCGTAGTCGTCGATCGAAATACGAATAGAAAAGTTGAGATTCTTGTAAAACACGGAAAACACGAATATTGTCGTTGTCGCCGTTGTTATTGTTGTTGTTGTCGCAACGCGTAGCGAACGTATTCGAATTTGTTGCAGCGTGTCGTGACGAGGTGCAGTTATCGGGGAACGCCGTTAAGTACGAACGTGCTCCCGGCACTAAATACCGAATAATAATAATAAAAAGAGGAAAAAAAAAACAGAATGCGGAGATGGAGGAGAAAAGAAATCGCGAGTCGACGAATCGCGTTTTCGGCTCGTTCGCGTTGCGGAATGGAAACGCAACGAGGGACTCGTAAGCAGTTAAATGTGCATGTTGTCGCGAGTCGAGTCGATGGAGGAGAAACGAGTGTTCGTATAACGCGAGAACTAACGGTTGCTCATCACGATAACCTTAAACCGATTTTTAATGGAAATCCGGTGCTGCCTGGTACGATCGAGATCTAACGAGAGCTAATGAGGGGGATGCGGACGTAACCGTTATTAGAAAATAAAGGGTAGCTATAGGTATAACCGTAAAACGAGATCCTTTTTGTTATTCGGTTGCGTCGAATAACGGCGGCAACCAAAGACGACACTAATCTTAAGGCTCAGAAAACGATTCCGACGAGCACGCGTCGCGTAAAGGCTAAACGCTTCGTGCTTCTTCTATTTCTCGAACGACCACGTAAACTCCGTAAGATCGTGATAGCTGACGAACGGCCACAAAGTATCGAGTTTTATCGCGAAGAAAAGAGCAACGCGCGAGAAGAGCCGCAAAGAGGCGAGTAACCTATGTAACCCGTTGTGTACGCAGACGGCACGCACGACGTGCCTGTTCACAAGTGTGTAACGAAAAGTGTTCGTGCCGAACACGTGTTCTCACCGCTAATGCGTTACCCCCGGCTGGGTAAAAAGGTATTTTTCTCGAAGAAGTCGTAACGCGACGCTCGACCATGCCCGGTTCAATGCACCTTTAGCCTGCCCGCTCACCCTCTTACACCGAGCACAAGCATCGGGGCATCCGTCGTGAGTTTTCGCGGAACCCGACAAATTCCGTTTCCGTCGAATCGATTAACCAACCTCTCGGCTTCTTCTTACGAATGTTTGTCACTTTAGCGATACTCGCGTGACTACCGTTGTCGTTCGCCTTTCGTTTTTGCAAACGAGAGGTGGAATAATTAGCCGGAACGGCGTCGAAGAGAAAGAAGAAGAAAGAGGAAAAGGAGAAATAAGATCTCGAAGGTAGAGTAGCAGGGCGAGATATCGTATCGCGAGAGCGCCTTATCGGTGTTCGATGAAATTGAGCGGATATCGTTAAGCGTGTAGAGGCTCGCGCGAGAGCAACTGGCCGCCCGTGAACATCGAGGGACGAAGCGAAACGACGACCAAGACGAGAAGAAGAGGTGGAGCCTCAAGAGGAGTAAGATAATAACGTATTCGACAGAGAATGGCATTGCTCTGGCGAGCAGTCGTCCGCCGCAGTATGAATTACATCGGCGATTGAAACTCGTTCGCGATGAAAAAAAAACCGTCGACCAAGGGGAGTCCTCGGGCTGTCGGAGGTGCAGGGATTTGCATATTAAATGGCTCGAGATTTATAACGCCCAGGTCGGAGTCGAAGAGGTGCTAGTAATACGCGCAATAAATAAAAGAACTGTTGCCTCTCTCTCGAATAGACACTGGAAATGACTCTTCTTCCCGTCTACTTCTCCTTTCTTCGTCGAATCGATTCGACGAATGTTGGAAAACATCGAATCGTCGTTGCTCGTCGAGCGGCGTTTCGATGGGAAAACGTCCAACGATCGTACGAAATTTACCCCTGTACGATTCGAATTTATACGGGATGACAAGGACCTCGAATATAGAAAATATTCGAGGACAGAAATTAAGCCGGATCATAGTTTGAAAATTGAAAGTCGCAGGTGGTACGCGATTTGCGATCAACGTCGAATCGATCGCTCGCTCGACGATGCGGTCTTTACGAGGATCGATTAAAATCTTTCGAAGGAGAAAAAGACTAAGGGGAACGTATCGGAGAATAAAGGAGCGTATCGAAGGGAAGAAGCTCGAAAGGAAAAAAGACGGGGAAGCAACCCCCCGCGGAGCTCGTTATTCCGTCGAGGCGAACAATGATTCGACGTTAACGCGATTCATAACACCTTGGCCACGTCCTAGGACGTGCAAGACCATTCATCACATTCGGCCACATTAGTCGGGTTCATCGACGATAGGTGTTTGTTATCGACGCTTCGCGTCGCGTTGGACAATGCTCACCTTTAAATTGCTCGATTCGTTTGTTCCGACCAATAGCTGGCCAATTCGTACGAAGAATGTCTACGCGACCGTTTTCGTTGACGAGGATGCGATCTTTACGACAACGCTAAAGTAATTGGAAGGCGTCGATTCGTCGACGATTTGACGCGAAACGCGAAGATGCGCTGTGGTTCGAGATCTAATTTCGGTCCGTTTTAACGTTGGCGGATGCAACGCGTTATCGAACCTCTAACCCACGTGGACGTTTACGAGGCGCTCGGCCGCGGCTATGGGCGCGAAACGTCCCGAGAATCCACGTGTGCAGGAAACGAGATGCGGGTCGCACGTGTGCGCCGTCTTTTAACCGTCGTTCTCGCGGACAGCGTGAATAATACTTGGTAATTTTCGCAACGACGAAACAACGAACGCACCCTTCGTCGAACGCGGTTTCGATCGTTGCTGACTTCCTCGTCACCACGATTACGCTTAGGACACGTGTTCTGGCGTACATTCGCGTATATAGGGAAACTAATTGTCGCATATCGTTTCGTAACGTAGAAAATCGATTCGCCGCGCCGGTTGTCGAGTGTCGCTGCTTGGAATACCGTTTAGAAACGCTAAAACGTTCGATTGAAAAAGTATCTTTTCTTTTTCACAAAAACCGTGTACCGTGTTACGTAAAGAGTGTCCGATCGTTCGAAAAAAAGGACGATTAAAACTTTGGAGATGATCAATTTTAAAAAAGGTTGCAACTGAAAAGAACGAGAAAGGAAATGAAAGGAATCGATTGGAGGGTTCGTTGTGCCCCGCGAACAGATAGAAATCGCGATGAGGACGCGACCGCGAGTGTTCACCTAATTCTAAATACCTTGGCACAGTTTCCAAAGTTCGCTCGCGACCATGCAAATAGCGTCGTCCGACAATGCAGCGGCTGTCGACAGGTGTGCGGCTAAATATAGACGACAGGTATTCGTTTCCACGCGAACGAAACGCCGACTGACTTTTTCGTTCGCGTCCAGGTTCGATTCTCGCGAGAACGAGATGCCGCGACGCATGTCCGGGCTCCTCGAAGGCAGCCCTCGAGTTAAGCTCCGCGAACCTCGACGCCGATGATCCGCATCGAAAGAAAGTAGTAGGTGGTCCAGTGAGTTAAATTTGGAAATTCATTTTCAAGATTCGCAGACGGTCTCGCGGGGCGTACGAATTACGAGAAAATCCTGGCTCCGCTTGGAACGCGACAACGTGCCAAGAAATATCGCGATACGTCTTCTCCTCGACGATGGAGACAAATCGAAAAGTCGTTCTCCCGTACGAGGAGGAATTCTCGTCTTCGAATCCGGCCTTGGACGTCGAACCGAGCGATCAATATTTGCGGAATTAATTCCCTCGGACGAATCGTCGATCGAACGATAATAAACGACCGCTCGCGAGTGTGCAGGAAACGAGATGCGGGTCGCACGTGTGCGCCGTCTTTTAACCGTCGTTCTCGCGGACAGCGTGAATAATACTTGGTAATTTTCGCAACGACGAAACAACGAACGCACCCTTCGTCGAACGCGGTTTCGATCGTTGCTGACTTCCTCGTCACCACGATTACGCTTAGGACACGTGTTCTGGCGTACATTCGCGTATATAGGGAAACTAATTGTCGCATATCGTTTCGTAACGTAGAAAATCGATTCGCCGCGCCGGTTGTCGAGTGTCGCTGCTTGGAATACCGTTTAGAAACGCTAAAACGTTCGATTGAAAAAGTATCTTTTCTTTTTCACAAAAACCGTGTACCGTGTTACGTAAAGAGTGTCCGATCGTTCGAAAAAAAGGACGATTAAAACTTTGGAGATGATCAATTTTAAAAAAGGTTGCAACTGAAAAGAACGAGAAAGGAAATGAAAGGAATCGATTGGAGGGTTCGTTGTGCCCCGCGAACAGATAGAAATCGCGATGAGGACGCGACCGCGAGTGTTCACCTAATTCTAAATACCTTGGCACAGTTTCCAAAGTTCGCTCGCGACCATGCAAATAGCGTCGTCCGACAATGCAGCGGCTGTCGACAGGTGTGCGGCTAAATATAGACGACAGGTATTCGTTTCCACGCGAACGAAACGCCGACTGACTTTTTCGTTCGCGTCCAGGTTCGATTCTCGCGAGAACGAGATGCCGCGACGCATGTCCGGGCTCCTCGAAGGCAGCCCTCGAGTTAAGCTCCGCGAACCTCGACGCCGATGATCCGCATCGAAAGAAAGTAGTAGGTGGTCCAGTGAGTTAAATTTGGAAATTCATTTTCAAGATTCGCAGACGGTCTCGCGGGGCGTACGAATTACGAGAAAATCCTGGCTCCGCTTGGAACGCGACAACGTGCCAAGAAATATCGCGATACGTCTTCTCCTCGACGATGGAGACAAATCGAAAAGTCGTTCTCCCGTACGAGGAGGAATTCTCGTCTTCGAATCCGGCCTTGGACGTCGAACCGAGCGATCAATATTTGCGGAATTAATTCCCTCGGACGAATCGTCGATCGAACGATAATAAACGACCGCTCGCGAATGTTTTCTTAGCGGAACGATACCTTTTTCTCGTACGACGCGTCGACTAGCATAGAATAGTGACCGATGACCGGTTCCTAAAACTTTGCGCGCTCGAACAATCGGTAAGTGAAACGAAACGAAAAGAAAAGAAAAGAAAAGAAAATAAAAGAATGCTTACCTCGTTTTTGCATGTAACTGAACAGGTCGTCGAGGAACTCTTTCCGCTTCGGGTCGTCGTTGATCTCGTACAGCTGTAACAGGAAGAAGTAAAAAAGGAAACGTCAGGAGCGTATGGATAAGCGAAGAAGCGTTTTGTTTTTCACCGGCGCGGTGCATCGCGAATAAAATGTTATTCAGGGTTGTTGGTAGAGGGAGATGGGGGTCTAATAAAAACAGGAGTGAAACAAGTGTGCTCATAGCGACAGGCAGATTAGTTAGCTCCGATTATTAATGATTCCGTTTAACCTGGCTCATAACCCGAAACCCCATTCCCCCACCAATCGACCAAAGCCAAACTCCCTTCGGGCTAGCCGACCGTATTATCATATTTGTTATGTACGATGTGCTATATCTAATCCGAGAGCGTCTAATTGCTTTTATAATACCAGCCCTTTCTTTTTTACCCTCTACCTTTCACCGTGGCCCTTTTTCTCTTCGTTCTCGTTCTCGTTCTCGTTCTCGTTCTCCTATCGTGCGAGCGGCTTTTTCTTCTTCCTCGCTACTTTCTCGTTTCGCGATACAAAGGATTTACGACGGAAATCGCGCAGATTTCGTTAGATTACGTTAGATTACGGAGCGGTCGGTCCCCGAAAGGTTAAGACGTCCGACGGTGAAAGGAGTTAATCCTGGCCGCAAACGATCGAGGAATAATCTCGTTCGAGAAGCGTAATCGTTCACCGAAATGGCCGCTATCACGGCTCGGTTATTCGTTCCGTTTTCATGGCAACGCCCTAGCTCGATCTCATCCACCCTTGCACGGTTTCGAACCGAGTGGAACGGGCGACTGGACAAACGAACGGATGAACGGCATTTCTCAAGGGTCATTTTGTACCACTTTCTCGTGTTTTTTCTTTGCCTATACGAGCGATGAGCTCGTTAGGGGCACGCCGGAGGAAGAGGACGGAGGTAAAAGGTCGGAGAAAGAAGGACTGACCGAGGAACACCGCGGAGCAACGAGGAGAGAATAAAGTCCGAGAGTCCGAGGGTTCAACCAGCGTATATTGATTGATCTACAGTTAAGCGGACTGACGGCAGCCACATGAAGATCTGGTAAGAAAACGGCTTTGGTCTTCTTCTCGTTTCCTCTCTTTCCTTTCTCTAGTCGCCTCCTCTTTTTGCTTTCGTATCTTTTTCCCCTATCCGTTCGTAAAATAAAGAGAGAGACGAACGGAATTTGCTCTGGATGATGCATGCTTCGCGGGCCCCGCCCTCTTCTTCTCGTCGACTGACGGGCCCCGGTGAATAATAATTCTTGATACGGCCGACGTTGATCGGGTTACTTTCGTCCCTGCGAGCAGAGGAGGGACGCGACGATCCGTTCCGGATGATCGATGCACTCGCGTTCTCCGCGTCCTCCTCCTCGTCCTCCGAGATCTACGTTTCGCGTCTTACACGCGATACGGTTGCAACGTTTTATCGTTCGAACGATTAACCATCGTTAGTATACCGTCGTCGCGTCGCTCGTTGAAAAGTTGCAGCGATCGTTCGATCGATTAATCAGTTGGAGCGATTCATCGATCGAGGTGTCGTGTCGGCGAGTTTCGACGCCTTCCGCGTTTGCCAACCTCGTTGCGTCGACGAAGCGTTGCCGCGATCAAATTTCTTCTTTCGATTCTGGCATCTGGAATCGTTCGCTATCCGGATGGATTTCCTCGAGACGGGACAAAGAACGAAGCCGAAGCTGTTTCCCGAAGGTGACGAGAATACTTCGTTTCGGGATAACACGTAATAGTCGAGCAATCGCCGCGCGCGGGGATGAGGTACTTTCGAAGAAGATTCTTTGGCGAACGAGCCAGGAAGGGGGCAGGGGTGAAGGCGAAATCGCTCGAAGAACGTCAACTATTCCTCCTGGAAGCTCTGGCTCGTTCAAAGGACGCCGAACGAACGCGTGGAAAAGCTCGTTCGGATTAGGGGTTGACCGGGAACCGAGAGAAGGGTAAGCCTCTTCTTTCTCCCCGGATTCGATATCGCTGGAATAAAGCCGATTGATTTGCTTCGGAATAATGGGTATCCGTGGATCGTGCGTCTCTTTCGCTTTTCTTCTTCGCGTTCGTCCCGGTAACGCCTTCGAAAAATCGGTTGCGTTGTTCCGCGAAAAGGGGAAAAATTCATTTGACCGTCACGTCGTCGTCGTTGTGTTCTATCGGTAGCCAGACTGTTAATCGCGAAGCTATCCTACAGACAAACGCGGTTTCGTTACGACTAGGCGTTGCGGACATCTTGAACGATTTATTTTACCAACGATAAAACGGCAAAGTCGAAACAAAGTATGAGAGCCGAAAGCAGTATCGCTTCCGCGTTGAACGCAACGCATGGACATAAATGAACCAGTGGCAAATATAGCGGGCCGGTTAGTCGTAAATCAACGAAACGGAAGAGGCGTATTTTGCTCTCGCTTTGAGTTATTATTTATCGATTCTCGATTCGCTGATCGATTTTTCTCGATCGTTTTGTACTCTTTTTCGATAACGAAAGAAATAACAGTACGAACGCGTCCTTATAAAAGCCCTTACAATCGGAAGTTGATCCTGTGCCAACGAAGACACGGAACTCGAACGAATTTACGTTCGTGGTAGCGGTGGTTCCACCGTTCGCGATAACCCTGTACGTCGAGGATCGTTTCCTAGTGGTAAGGACAACAGCGTCGCAGAAAATGTGTCGAAAAATCGCGATTATCATCCAATTACGATACTTTCCTGGCTCGAAACGGGTTAAATGGTGAACCGAGCGATGCACCTCGAGCGTCGAGTCACGATGCACGAAAGCGGGTCAGTGCAAATACTGAGGGTGAGTATCCGTTGAACGCTTTTCGACGAAGGAGGTCGAGAGAGCTTTTTTACGAGACACGCCGTATAAAATATAAGGAACGAGAAGGAGGTTGACGTTCGATGACGCCAGATGTCGGCGTCACAAAGAGCGAACTTCGTCGTCCCTTTGCGTTCTTCAACCTTCTCTTCTCCCTCTCTCTCTCTGAGGTACTTTCGAAGAAGATTCTTTGGCGAACGAGCCAGGAAGGGGGCAGGGGTGAAGGCGAAATCGCTCGAAGAACGTCAACTATTCCTCCTGGAAGCTCTGGCTCGTTCAAAGGACGCCGAACGAACGCGTGGAAAAGCTCGTTCGGATTAGGGGTTGACCGGGAACCGAGAGAAGGGTAAGCCTCTTCTTTCTCCCCGGATTCGATATCGCTGGAATAAAGCCGATTGATTTGCTTCGGAATAATGGGTATCCGTGGATCGTGCGTCTCTTTCGCTTTTCTTCTTCGCGTTCGTCCCGGTAACGCCTTCGAAAAATCGGTTGCGTTGTTCCGCGAAAAGGGGAAAAATTCATTTGACCGTCACGTCGTCGTCGTTGTGTTCTATCGGTAGCCAGACTGTTAATCGCGAAGCTATCCTACAGACAAACGCGGTTTCGTTACGACTAGGCGTTGCGGACATCTTGAACGATTTATTTTACCAACGATAAAACGGCAAAGTCGAAACAAAGTATGAGAGCCGAAAGCAGTATCGCTTCCGCGTTGAACGCAACGCATGGACATAAATGAACCAGTGGCAAATATAGCGGGCCGGTTAGTCGTAAATCAACGAAACGGAAGAGGCGTATTTTGCTCTCGCTTTGAGTTATTATTTATCGATTCTCGATTCGCTGATCGATTTTTCTCGATCGTTTTGTACTCTTTTTCGATAACGAAAGAAATAACAGTACGAACGCGTCCTTATAAAAGCCCTTACAATCGGAAGTTGATCCTGTGCCAACGAAGACACGGAACTCGAACGAATTTACGTTCGTGGTAGCGGTGGTTCCACCGTTCGCGATAACCCTGTACGTCGAGGATCGTTTCCTAGTGGTAAGGACAACAGCGTCGCAGAAAATGTGTCGAAAAATCGCGATTATCATCCAATTACGATACTTTCCTGGCTCGAAACGGGTTAAATGGTGAACCGAGCGATGCACCTCGAGCGTCGAGTCACGATGCACGAAAGCGGGTCAGTGCAAATACTGAGGGTGAGTATCCGTTGAACGCTTTTCGACGAAGGAGGTCGAGAGAGCTTTTTTACGAGACACGCCGTATAAAATATAAGGAACGAGAAGGAGGTTGACGTTCGATGACGCCAGATGTCGGCGTCACAAAGAGCGAACTTCGTCGTCCCTTTGCGTTCTTCAACCTTCTCTTCTCCCTCTCTCTCTCTTGTTCTCCGTTCCATTCGAGGAGTTCCTGATACACTTGGATTTTATGCCCGTAGCTGGAAATATTAAATCGCACCTAAGCACGTTTTATGTCGGCCGCTTAATAATCTCTGTGGTCCGTTTTCTCCTTTTCTCAGCCGCGCCACGAGCCTTTTCGTCGTGCCGTCTCGCTTGGGACACTTTTTAAACGTTCAACGCGTTGCCCGTGGCCTTTCAACCCTTTCGAGAACGATCGTTGGTGGTCGTGTTCAGGTATTCGCGAATATTTTATTCGACTCGTCACCATACTACGATCAACGGACAGAAAACTAAGAAAAACAAAGGAGTTCGGCTCGATTAATTTTATTCGCTCTATTAAAGTTCGAGCCGAGAGTACAGAGACGCGGTGCAAACACGCGTGAACCAACGCGTTAATCCTTTGGTCGCTGCAGCTCCTTTATCAACGGTGTCCGGTTAAATCGGCGAATAACTTTGTCCATGAACGATCTGTTGGTACTTTTATTTTCTCTGTCGAGGCGAATCCAGTCGAGGTAACGAGATGCCCACGCTCGAGATTTACGAGCGCGAAATTTAATTCGGTAGCTCGTCCAATTTGATCGCGATATCGCGATAAAGCCAAGCTTCGGGTTGCTTCGGTCACATCCACGTTTGAACGCGGGAAAGGGGGAACAACAGCAGAGGAAACGATCGTAGCCTACGATCACCATTTTAAGTAATACTCTTTTAACTCTATTTGTGGAAAAAGTATTTGTGGAAAAAGTAAGGTCGACGATTCTATGGTCCGGAACTTGTACCCTTCCGAACGGTGCTTCGAGTTCCTCTCTCGCGATGAAAACGCGCGAAACCG